ATCAGGCTCAGCTACGGTGAGACTTTGTCACTTTGGCGATGACAGTTTACGAGGCTGTTATTGAGAGGTATATGGCCGAATGGGTAGCTACAGGGACTTCCTTCTGAGAAAGGGAACTGGATCAGGGACTTGGTTGAGGCACTATCCAACCTCCCTCATTGCAAAGCTGTCGGCATTGACGACGACGTCCGTCCCTGGGGGCCCTTCGACTCGGTCGCCGCATTGGCACGTTTTCCGAACCGCTTCGTCACTCCCTTCCAGCCCAGTATGGTCTTTGCCACCACGTTGATCAGAGCCCTGTTCATAGACTGCTGCACAGTCGCCATGCTGTAGAGAGACTCTATATTCAGTTTGGCGATCTGAAGACGGCTGCACCTCTGTCACCCCACGCATGCTATCAACGATCCCTGTGTCTGTAGACACTTTGAAGAATCGGCTTGCTCCCATCAAACCCTGCTACTTGTTGGTCAACCCAAACAGCCACCAGAACGCATTCGATGAGGATGTGAAGAAACTAGTTTCCAACACCGACCCGATCCAGACTACGGATTCCGATTGGTGTCCGGAGTTCTGCGGCTTCCTCCGTCTTTTTCTCACGCTGACCGACTTCACCTTACACTTCAATCCCCGCGACGAAAGGCAGCAATTTCCGAGGCTTTCCGAGGATCTTCGAATTCCCAGCCTCCAGAGCCTCCGTATCGAGTTCGTCGACTGCACAAGGGACGAGCTTATGACGTTGCTAGAGGGGCATCGCGACACGCTTCGGGAGCTTGTTCTCGAGTCCGTTGATTCACTGGAGGGGGGCGAAAGACGTGGTCCTCGCTCCTCGTCTCCAGCATAGCCTCAGGTTAGAGGCAATAGACTTGGGGAACTGTATGGTGGATGGGTTTTATCTCTGTTTCACGCTCCTCGTAACGTTTCTCAACCAAAGGTTTTGCGCAAGTGCCCTGAGGAGATTGAGGCTATGCGGTCAGCATTAGATGGTTAGAAGAGTCGGAAGCGTTCCCCTGGTCAAGACGATCTCATGGTGAGTAATGCGAGTTTAGTAACGTATGAGATCACCGCGTCCACAAAGGTTATAAAACCCCGCGCCTGAGGTAAAGCATTCTTGTTCCACTCTAACCTGCTTCAGTGATATATAAGCTATGTATCTAGCTCCCTATCCTATCACCTATTACCTATAGATCTATCCCTAAGGTCCTAGCTGCTAAGCACACTATATACGCGCCGAACACAAACAGCTAAGTGTCCTTTCGCCCGTTGCCAACGTCTCGCTCATCACATCGCTATCCGCCGCTAGGCTTTATCGGCAACGATATCACCCTCATTCCCAACACCAGTCGAGAGGCCTCGTAGCTTGGTGGTAGAGCGCTCCTCTAGCTAAGGAGAAGATCCAGGTTCGAATCCAGGTGAGGTCGTTCATTTTTTTTTTCTTTTTCTTGCGTTTCTTTTTTGTTCTTTCTTTCTTTCCTTCCCTCCCCCCCTTCCCCGTAATTGGCTGGCTGACGCCCTCTGCCTCGGCCCCGTCGCCCCGCCTCGCCGTCCGGGCCGGGCTGACGGCGGCGGGCCCCGCTCTTATCCCGGGCCCAGCGACGTCGCCCGCAAGCGTTGCTCCTCGCCGACTCAGCAATCTGTCAAGCTAACTCCTAACGCTTGACGTGCGTCGAAAGGCCTAAGTAGGAGAACGGTAGTAGGCTGAATCACTGGTTGAGGGCCTATCAGCTTAATTAGTCGAGCACTCCTAACCCTAAGGAGAAGATCTGGGTTCGAGTCCTGGGTGGGCCTCTTTTTTTGCACCCTCTGTCGCTTGTCCATTTCTTCCCCGTTGCGCCGCTGCAGGAGCGCGGCGGCGCGGCAGCTGGTTGCAATGCCGGTTTAGGATGCGCCTGCGGGCCGCCGCCGGGCTGGGCGGGTTCGATTCGTATGTATGCCCGAAACGACCGTCATGCGCGCGAGACTACGGCCGCGCATGCCTTAAAGGCGTGAAACGTCGCAGAGATATCACCAGTTTGGGATGAGAGGCCTGCCAGCTTAATGGCAGAGCTCCCCTCTAGCTAAGGGGAAGGTCCGGGTTCGAGTCCTGGGGCGGGGTCGCAACTTTTGCAAGCTTTTTTTCTGTGCAACCTTTTGCCCTGATCTCAAATATCCAGTCCGTTTGTCATAGGGCCCTCTCCGTTGGCAAGAAATCTCTTGTTTAGGCTTTATTTCGTTTACACTCTCAGTTCTAAGCTATCAGAGTGCAATAACCTTACGTATACTTACGAATATGTTGATAAAATTCCCTCTCCTGCAAGGCACCGCCTAGGCCTCACATTATATACTATATCTAGGTCTCTCGTCTCTCCAATCCCCCGTTTATACTCTCCTTCCTCAGGATAATTGGTCCTGTTGGCGAGGTACACAACCTTTCGACATAACAGTCGAATGTGTCCCCCGCGTGATGGCTCAGCAAGAGAGGCTGGTGGAGAAACGCATCACCTGGCTCCTATCGGATTCGCCCACCGAAATTGGGAAAAAAAAAAACCAAAGGCATCTGCATCTCCTACTCAATTCCTATTATCCTCTATTCCCTTATTCGCCTGTTTATTGTATTTATATAACCTTATCGATCCTTGATGATGTCGCCGCAACGCTCCGTCCAGATGCTGTCCTGGCTTGTTGAAGACCACGCTTGATAAAGTCGTCTGGTCGTTTCAATGGCCGACCGTAGCTCTCGGAGTGTCCTGGAGGAGGTCCTCTTGAGGCCGCAGCTGCAGGTCTGTGTTTCGGGGGCTGGTCGCGGTTGCTTTTTGAGGTGACCCAACCCAGCTCACGCAACATCCTGTTGCTGCACCTCCTTATGCTCTACAGCGCTGTTAGCATCATAACCTCACACCATCCCTGCGTTATACTGTACCAATCTTCTTCGTCATCTCGGCTACATCATAGGCCGTCCCACTTGAAACCCTTCTTCCAGGGGAACGATGGCGGGGTAGAAGGGAAACCACATCATCCTCTGACCATAACGAGGGCCAGCTGGGCGGGGTCCTTTCTCTGCTGCGGTCCCGAATTTGCGCGACCAGGCGCGACCGTCTGGCGTTTCCGATGAGGAGCAAAACGGTCAATGTGATCATCAGCATCAGGCAACAGAGGGGGTCCTCGATTGTTGCGTGTAGAGGACGTTTATTCGCTAGGCTGGTAGTGGTCCAGAACCTGTATATCGCCCTTGTTAGAGAAGATCGCCTTAAGCCTTGAGAAAACCGTCCGTTAATAAGGCTGGGGACGTCGGTGAAGGGGAAGCTGCAGCCGAAGTTGATGGTTCTGCGCGTCTGCCTGAGCGCCCGGTCGTGCGCAGCTTTTTCTCGTGCTTGATTTGAGCTTCCTGCGCCCGCCGCCTCAGGGAGCCTGGCGGGCCGGTTACTACTACGTGCGCGACCCTCTCGAGCCGCACAGGCTGACGACGGTTTTGACGTTAAGCGGCCCTTGACGGCGTCAGGCACCCACTCAACACCGGCCGCGAGGAGTCTGCTGGCTATCAACGGAGACCCACTCGTCGGGCTTGAGTCCGTTGCTGGCCTGGTTGCCGCTAGTTATGGCCGCCTGTAGATGGTCCGGCCATGTCGCGTTGACTGGCGCGGATGCTGCCCGCCCCTTCTCAGTAGAGACAACGCGGAGAAGCTGAGTAGCAAAGTCGTGCCTGGTGCGCGTCCTCGACAAGGTTATTTTTATGCGCGAGCCGCCTGAGGTGAGACCGTCAATTAGCCGCTGTAGCGCCACATGGGTGAAGGCGTCTGGCGCCGCTTCCCACGCCTCAACAGCAGACTTACACGCCTCTTTCTGCTCTAAGGTAATAGGCATACTACCAGTGTCGCTACTACCTTCTTGCAGCCTGCGCCGTAGTTGGTTAGCTATGAAGAGCTTCGTCTGGGGGATCCACATCTCCCGCATGAGTTCCGTCACATATTCCGTCACAGCTGCATGGCTCTTGAATGCGTCCCGGCCTAGCTGGCTGAACCAGATCTCGGTCTCCCGGTGGGAGGCAAGGCGGTCGCCGTAGTGGTGCTGTAGCTCGCTAATATGAGCAGTATAAGCCTTCCCGTCTTCGCGGAGCGGGGCCACCGGCTGGTGTCCATAAAAGCAGGTCGCTGCCCCGGCTGGAGCGAGGTCTAGTACGGGCTGGGTCGATATAGGGGCCACGCCCCAGCCAGAAGGCTGTCGATGGTGCCTAGCGGCCGGAGCAACCGTCTTCGGCAGGTGGCGCTCATGGCCCGGTGAAGATATACCCACCAAGCCGGGTCAAGTACTGCAACAGCCTCAGAGTGTGCGAGGTCTAGGCCGCGCTCGCCGCCAGCAACGTAACGAGCCGTTCCATCTCACAGATAGCAAGCTCAAACAGGCGGCAGTAGGCTGACATGATACGGGGGAAGATTCCGACTGGTATAGACCGAAAGATGTGGACATACGACTCATGCTCTGTGAGGAAGAAGCGCATGAGTTGGAAAATAGGGCGAATAACGTTCTCGAATGTGCGCTCAACGCTGTCCATATGTCGTATATTGAGGTGATACAACCTGCTCCATCCGGTATGCTACCCCTCATCCTTCTCGATAGCGATGTCCAGCGGCCGACGCTCGCTCGCGCAAATGGCTTAGACTCCTCAGGCTGCTCAGGCGTGGGGTCGCCACGGATACAACGTAGCAGCCTCTCCCGCCTGTCTCTTGTGTACGACATGGCGGATGTGTGTGACGTTGGGGCTGTTAGCGCTGCTGGGCGACGTACCCCTTCGTTGCGAGGAGGGGCGCTGGCGCTGTGGCGCCGCTTCTCTTGATGTTGGAGTAGCCCTGGAAGTAGCCGACGACAGCACGTCTGCGCCCTCATTGCGGTCGCTCATATTCCCTGTATAAGCGGTGTAGAGCGAGTTGAGGAGGCGGGCGGCTGGCTGGATGAGAGTTTCCATACGTTGGGTGGAAGGCCTGCGGGTAGAAGGTGTAGTCGCGGTTACCAGGTACTCTCGCGCCACCATGTTCCGGTCGGCGAGGAGGCAGCGCGTCTGCGAGCTACCCGACTCGCTGTTGATACAGACTGCAAGGGGCGTACGATATAGCACTGATACTGCTGAGATCAAAGCGGGGCGTCGAGCTCTATAATCATCCTCTGCAGGTCCCTGCTCTCCCTGAGCATCTGCTGGTACTACTCCCGGCCGTCCACTGCATCGCTGTGTGTTCTTTGGTTCATCGTTAAGAGAGAGCTCTTCAATGTCCTGCTGAACATTTCCATCTCTAGGGCCCTGCTCCCCGCCCTCCTCCCTCCTCCTCCTCCTCCTCCTCCTCATAGGGTATATGCCTCTCGCGCGGCAGGTCGTAGATGCTATCGCTGACCTGAATCTCGATATTCGCGCCGTAGTCATACGCGTGGAACGCCGGCTCGTGCGTCGCCAGAATGAATTGTGGTTGTGGTTGCTGGCCCAGACAGCCCAAACCGTCCATGAACTGCTGCTGGAAGACCTGCCACTTAGCTGAGCTTATACGCTGAGTGCTCTTTGTCCCCAACCGCCAGCAGGCCTCAACCCCCTCGCCAAGCAGCTGCGGCGACTGGAAGAACGCCCACGATATATGCAGCCAGCTCGCGGGCTAACCCAGCCGGCATCCCGCTCTTCTCTGAGGCCGTCTGTCTCTCGCGCGGGCCCCCGCCCCTGGAGGTCGGCTCGTGCGCCACGGGGTGCATGACGACGAACCAGACCTCTCGGGTACCAGCCTTGGCGACCCTGAACGTGCGCCCGGTGATATCGAACGGGATGCCGCCGATATGCTTTGCGCTATAGGGCGCTGCGTATGACTCAAGAGAGAACTCGATGTTGTCGAAGACGGGGCCCGTCGCTTTTCGTGATGGGGCTGCGTGGCTTGCCGACGATGCTGAAGAAGTCAAGGAAGAACTGCGGGAAGAAGGCGTCCGTGGCCTTCGCTGGCGCGCTACCTCCAGCGCGAGACCCAAAGTCAATAGTGTGCTTCTCCTGTAGCATCTTGATAGCATCGGCTGGCTCGAAATCACTTCGGAGGACCTTTTCGATGAAGCGTCTAGCTGAGGAGAGGGGTGAGAGGCGTTAGCATATTCTTCTCATAGCTAGTTTAATTCCTTCCGCATATATACCTCGGAACCGGTGGTGCCCTGAGGAGTGGTCCACAGCCCAACGGTGGCCGTCCCACCCATTGTCGCCTTCATCCTCATGTTGGCGGGTTGAGTCCTGGTTGTGGGCGAAGGGATCGTTATTATGGTCCAGGCTAGAGGTATCCTCTGCATCGGGTAGGCCATCACTATCTACTAGCGACTCGGTGATAACATCTCCCTCATAGATTAAAGACATCTTAATGTAGCTGCGGTGGGATGCTAGGTGTTACTATTCACGGTCTTGGTGTGCGTAATGTATGTAGGTGCTAGGTGAGGTCTCTTGTACTATACTTTCTAGGGATTCTATGTAGGACTACCTATATATCATCTACTAGGAGATTACTTACCAACCACTTATCTATTAGGGTATTGACTACTGCTTGTTGTCCTGCTCCCCGTGTAACTCTCACCCACTATAAGTCCAGGAGGGCAGATATGCAGCATGTGCCGCCTGTGTTTTATCGGGGAGAGTGGAGGAATCCTCTTTCCCTCTTACTAGACTAAAGCCCTATTAGACAGCTTGATATCATGTCAATAAAAACAAAACCTCGAATTGGTCTGACATTCGTCTGCCTAAGAATGTACGGTCTGCACAAATGCCCTCCCGGGCGTGAAGCTGATGATGACGACCTCATAAGGGATGGACTGGGGGCACATCTGGAATTGGGGGCCCACTTAGTGTGAAACTAGGCAACCTTCTTTGTATGTGCCCGCCGGGCGCAGGTATTTGCTGAGGCATCTTCTATTGGCTATGTTTCAAACGGGCAGGCTTGCAGCGTTCTTCAGAACAACTTTCCCAAACGAATTGTCTATGTAAGGTATGCAAGGGATCCCCAGGCCTGCAGACGCGACCACGACTGCTACTATACTGCTGCTCTGGCTGGTTTCCTAGCTCTAGGCCCCAGCTTCCAGCGTGGAACTGGTTTCTGGCTGGCGGTGGTCGCTGGCGCCTTGGGCGAAGGCAGAGGGCGCCACTGTTGATGTGACGGCGGCGGCGGGGGAAGGGGAGGAGGGGGGAGGGAGGGGGAGGAGGGAATACTGTTACCGACGGCGCCTGGGCTGTGAAACACCTCGAGCATCGTCGTCGTCATCATCATCATTGCTATTGTTTGTTGCTGCTGCTCGTGTTGGGCGCTGGCGCGCAGACTGCTTAGTGGGTGATGGCGGGGCGCGTCCTGTGGTCGGCTGGTCCTCGTCGCCAGGGCAGTCCAGCGCTGCTGCAGATCCGTTGGAGGGCGTGAGGTAGGCGTTTACGAGCTCCTCCACCTTCTGCTGGTAGCTTGTCTAGCTGCGACGTCCTGCTGGCCGGCGAGCTTGAACAGATTGGCGCAGAACCCCTGCACGAGGGTAGAGGCCTTGGCCTGGCGCTCGCTCCTCCTTGTTGCGCACTCCGTCGTCCACAACGGGCGTAGCGTGTGGCCCTCCCTGTCGGTTGACTGACGCACCATCTTCAGCAGACGCGCCCACGCCACGTGCTTGAAGCGCTGCCCGTATAAGCCGTCTTCGCTGTCCTGCTCCTCATCGCCTATCGCGTCATCATCCAGGAGTGGGAGCAGCTCCGGCGCCCGGAACTCGGCTAGGTTGTCCCGTACGAAGTCCAGAATACGTCGCTGGAGCTGTACTGCTGCGATCGCGGGGGAAGGCCCCGGGAGCCCAGCCCCTATGGGAGGCGAGGGTCGTCTAGCGCTATCGACAGGTGCTCCCCGGAGGAGGGGCTTATTCCTATCCTTAGGCCTGACGTTGTCGACAGCTGCAGCTTGCTCTGGACTGATCCAGCAGATCACGTGGCAGAGCACGCGGACGGCTATCTGGATCTCCGTCTTCTTGCAGTGGAGGATACGCCTTAGGTCGGGGAACGTAAGCACCAGCGAGTTTGTGATAACATCATGGACGAGGTGGTAGGGTGTGATCGTCCATGTTCGCAAGGAACCCGTCGACCCGTGTACGTGCTTCAAGCCCCGCCTGCTGCTGTCCGGACGTGTAGAATACGCTCGTAATATCGGGGGCGGCTTGGCAAGTTGAGAGCCTGTCCCAGTCGGCGGGCGTGATGTAGACCTGCTCGTCCGCGGGTAGGTCGGCTAAAACGCTGAGAACCTCGTTAAGGGCATCAATCCAGTACTCGTCGATGCGGAGGCTAGCAATCCACTCAAAGTATGAAATATTGAAGGTGTCTAACCCCAGCCTTGTGCAGCACCACTGCGTCGTGACAGGCCGCCATCTCTGGTGGTTCCACAACGTAACGAGCCTCCGCGTTGGGAAATGCTTCTCGCCGCCGAGGCGGAGTGCCTCGACGACGTGCTGGTCTACGGCGGCGTCCTCCCCGCCTAGCTGTCCGTCTGCCTGCCCTCCTATGCAGGCGATGGACGCAAGCTGCGTCCAGATCTGCCCGTGATTGTCGGGCAGGCTTGGATCGCGCCTGTTGACGCGGAGCTTGACGTTCAGGTCGCGCGGCAGGCGGTCTTTGGGTTTCCATGTCGTCCGTTAGCCTCTTGTGAACACAGGCTCATGCCTTGAGCTTGGGGGCTATACCTTTGTCATACAGCTCGCACGCCCACCATAGGTCGGAGCCTGGTGCGCCCGTCTCCTTGACGTACTCGCGGAGCGCCTGGATACGGTGCTGGCCGGCCATGACCTCGGCCTGGCCCCCGCTCACTTCGGCCCAGCGTAAAAAGGAGAGCTCGCAAGGACTGTCGTTATCATCGTTGTCGTCCTCTCCGTCGTCCTCCTCTCGCCCCTCTATGCCGCCACCGTCCTGCTGCATAAGGCTGACTGCCTCGGCGCTGCAGAGGACGGTGATCCGGTTCTCCGGCGCCCGCCGTTCCAGCCCGCCGCTCCTGAATGCGTGTAACAGCTCCTGGACGTGGGCTGCGTTAATAGGGCGGTTCCTGCCGACGCTCCAGGCTGTGTCCAGCACGTCGATGGGCATCCTGGCAACGGCGAGGAGGAAAGGTCGCGCCCGTTCTCGCGCGGACGATGTTTCTGTAAAGGGGGAGCTGATCTCATCTTCTCTCCTGGCCCGGACCCGCCTCCTCAGCCCTGATGCTGATGCCGCTGTTGCTGCTTTCTTTCTATCGCCCTCATCACACTTCCTCTTCCGCTTGTCGCTGAGCACTCTGGCCATTGCGGTGATATGCAGTGTATTTTTCAACTGCCGCCTGATAGCCTGTGCTGGCTGTTCCTGTTGTTTCTTCGTTAATTTTCTTGTCTTTCTTGCCCCTGGGGGCTTAGGGATAGGTGGTTAAGGGGTGGGGGGTGCTTGTGATCAGATGAGATGTGTGCACAAATGAGACGGGAAGATGGGATGATGGATGCTTGGAAGGGGTGCGTATTTGGCAGGGCGGCCGGATGCGATTGGTCCGAGGCTGCTGTAGTACACTAATCTTCTATGTTTTTATATGCTAGGTGGGGGACGGCTACGCAGCAGAGGGAGCTGACTCACCCCACCACAGTTAGCGTATTCACGTCCGGTAGCAGCAGCAGCAGCAGCGGCATAACTAACCTCAGGTCATGCTGTAAGGTAATAAACAGATCAGGCGTCGGAATACACCTATGATAGGTGGTGCTATGAACACTTATACGCACTATTAGTCGCCCTCTGGATAAATAGCTGTCCTACCCCCATAATCGCACGTCTTTCATACTCAGGATTGGCGCCCTTAACTGGCTGGGTCACTGGCTGTGCTAGCTCCTGGGACGCCCTGGGTATCTGACGAGTCTAGGGCAATAAGGACAAGCTATGCCTGCCTATACTGCGTATGCTCCCTCCTGTTTTCTAGTTGAGGAACAACTCTGGGGAGAGGTGTTGAACATAGGGTCTGTTGTAAGGTTGGAAATACCCTCCTTAGAGCTGAGGTATCATAGCCCAACCTATGTATGACTATAACTAGAAAGAGAAGTGGTAGTGATCCGGCTACTTGTTTATACGTAATGATATGTAGATATATTTAACCTGCAGTATAGCGCGTCTTATGTTAACCTTTGCTCCCAGATCTTGTCTAGGTGGCGGTGTTGATGATCATACCCTGTAGAACAATAACATTCTAATGTTGTGATAAAATTTCTTAGAAAAAATGTTACCTGTTTATATGATGGCCTGTTTTGCCTGTTTGAGTTCTAGATCACTTTGCTCGCTCCTATCTAAACTATCCCATCTGCCCTTATCCTAGGTAGAACGTTATGCGCAGGGCTATTTGCGATTTGCTTCCCCAAACTCATAATTTCACAGTGATCTGCTCGGCCGGTTGGATACTCAACTAGCTATTACATAATCAACGGCTGTCGGGCCCTGGCTTATTCCGATGGAGTGGGTCGGGACCAACAGGGCCCCGGACCTACCTGAGGTCCTCCCTTGGCTCTCCCTTGCCCATTAACGATGAATTTGCGCTGTCTGAGTTGCACATCTTGCTGTATACCATAAGTAAACATGCTTCCTGTCACCCTTTACAAATGTCTATATACTGACTGAGGCTTTGCGCGGATATCTGCTTACTGGTGCCCTGATATACTCTTTATCTAGGACGATGGAGTTTGTGATGGTTTATCCTATGGTTAGCTGGCCTTCTTGTCTTGCCCCTGCTTGACGCGTTGGTCTCACTCTTAACGCGACATTATACATTAGTCCGCTTCCGGCCAGGGTCTTACTTCTCGCGGACAAACACGCCTAGACCAAACGCGTGGATAGCCAAGGATATCTAACCCTCTTCTATCTCCTACGCGTCCCCCGTTTTCTCTACCCTCAATCTCCTCTTCCTCTATTCATCTGTTCATCTATCTATCGGTGAATATATCTATTGCTACTCCTGCTGAGGCTGTTTATATATATCGTGCTCCCTGTTGGCCAGCTCTATATGCTTACTAGGATTGTCGTTCTATGCTCTATACTATCCTCCTCCTTCTAGGGATTTTGCTATCTTTCGAGCGATTGTATTCCTCCTCTTGGGATAGACAGGACCGGGCTGAGTAGCAACTCATACAGGCTCTGGGAGAGCCATGCAGGTAGGCACATCTTCACTTGAGCGCCTGCGGGGGTTAGCAGTGGGACTAGCCTGCCTAGGCGTCTAGATATCGATGCTAAGGAAGATATAGGTAAGTAAAAGCATAGAAACTTTTACGCTTTCCAAGCGGACGCTGTTGAACGAAGCTTTATGGGAGGCTATCAAACTTCCTAGCATCGGCTGGTTGATGCCCGCGAGGGCGTGGCACTTTCTATGCCCCCAAGGGCATGAGCTGATTGATGCCCCCGAGGGTGTGGCACTTTCTATGCCCCCAAGGGCGTGAGCTGGTTGATGCCCCCGAGGGCATGGCATGGCACTGGTTCCTCTATCAACTTCGCTAGCCTAGTTCACTACTGCTGCTACGACTATCTATTAATCTAACTGTCCATCTTAATACCTTGTGTACCTATATATGTGTTGCTTCGTTGAAATGTCAATAAATATGTCCCGTTTTTTTTCGTTTTGCCTAACCCTACCCTGGCCCGACCCGTCCCGTGGGGCCGCGCTACTCGTCCGTCGGCGCAAGTGTCGCCGTCAAGCATATCGTCTGTACGCCGAACTCGCGAATCGCCTCTCCGAGCTCTCTGAGCCGCGGCCGGAAGCTCCGTGACCCCTCGAGCACGACGTGGCATTCGTCCACGACGACGCGGTCCAGCGCCTGCCTCCCTTCCAGCCGTGCGATGAAGTCCCTGAACCCCTTTGTGACGGCTGACTCGGGCGTGACGAAGATGATGGACGCCGCCTGGTTGTTCTTCCGGCCCTGCCACACGTGAGATGTGATCCCCGCCTTGACGCATCGCCTGTGCAGATCCGACCGCAGCGCCACCAGCGGCGTCACGACCACCGTCACTCCGTCCGGCGAGCAGAACGCCGGCAGCATGAACGAGACGCTCTTGCCACCCGCCCGTCCCCATCACCTGCACGATCGGCGTGTGCCCGCTGGCGATGGCGAGCACCGCTTCTCTCTGGTTCCCGCGGAACATCGCCGAGTCGTCACCCGTCATCTGCCGCAGCTGGCCCTCCAAGTCGATTCTCCTCAGCTTCTCAAACCGTCGGAGCCTGGCTGCGAGCCGTGGCCCTTCGTACGCCTCCGTCTTTTTCCTCTTGCAGCCCGCGGGACCCCATTTCGACTCCGAATCCTCGGCGCCGAAGCCCAGAAACCTGTGCCACTGACGGCTGACTCGGCGGAACTGTTGCTGCCTCGCCGCGAGACCGCTGCCGAACTGCATGAGCTCTCGCGCGTAGATCATGCCCGCTATCCGCGTGCTGTGCCCCGCCTGCAAGTCCCACGGGCTGTCCTCGACCTCGTCCGTCCCCTCTTCCGATCCCACGCCGGCGTCGTCTCCGCCCGGCCGGCCGAACGACTCGTTCAAGTAGCGGTTAGCGATGCCGATGGCGATGTGCCGCCACATGCTCACGTTGACCTGGCATCCCAGCAGTCTCATGCTGGTCCGTTGCATGATCCGCCGCGCCCTGTCTGTCGTCCACGTTCGCTCCTCTTTCCACGTCCAGTCGCCCACACTTGTGCTCTCATCCCCAGCCTCATCTGCATTTGCACTGTGATTGTTGCCATCCCCGATATCCATGTTGTCACCACTTTGCTCTTCTAATCCTGCCGCCGCGCTGCTTTCTTCCGAGTCCCTCTGCCGGATGATGTCGTCCGCCCATATGAACGCGCTGTACCCGCTGGCCTCGTGCATGATGCCCTACACCTCCTGCCAGAACGGCAATATGAGCCAGAGAAACCATATGATAAGCTCGCCGACCTCCCTCGGGAGATATCGGTGGATCACCTTCGCCTGCCCGGTCGTCCGGTATCCTTTGTGGTACGCTGTGATGAAGCACAACATTTTGTCGTGCACCATGATGTTGCGGACGCCCCCGTTGACCGTGTTGACCGTCCGCAGACCTGCGAGCTCGCTCGCCCGCGCCGGCTGTCCGCCGAGCATGTGCAGAAGCATCCACAGTCGCTCGCGGAGTCGTTCAAAACGTCCTACCGAACTCCTGCACGGCTGACGGCTGGAACGGCCGGTCTGTCGTCCCGCGACCGTTGCCTATGCTGCTCAGTCCCCACCGTTCCGCAGCGGCGGGCGACCGCGCCAGCCGCATGAACAGCCAGCCGTCCCCGGCGGAAACCCAGCTGTTGCGGTCGTCGGCGAGAAACGAGTACCCGGGCTTTGTCTCGCTGTGGTCGTCTTCGATCGACGACCATGGGATGGCTGGCAGCTGTGACCGGACGTCGCTTTCCGGACCGTCCGCCGAACCCGAATCCTCCGTCGCCGTCAGCTCTGCGAGCAGCTCCCGCGTCTCTCGGACCAGCTCATGTAGTGCGTCCGACAGCTGCCCCATCGTGAACCGTACCCGTCTGTATGACACGCGATCACCGACCCAGTCGATGACACCGGCCGCTGCTGTGTTATATTGGATGTGCATCCCGTACGTCCGCGTCTCGAGAATCCAGTCCTTCGGTGTCGGCTCCGCATCCTTGTCGCCCGTCGTCCGCGTCATGAACCGCCGCACCTTCGCCCGCGTGTGCTGGAATAAACTCCGCGCCGCGTCCTCTGCTTCATCCTTCCCCAGAGACGTTTCCAGCTCGGCGACCTCGTCACGACGCTCGGTGTATGCCTGATGGATCACCAGCATGCGCGCTACCTTGACCACGGCCGAGTACTTCGTCGTGTAGTCCGTGATCTGAACCCAGCCGCCATTCTCGGCAATGCCCATCACCGCGAGAGCGCTGAGAAGAGCACTGCTGTAGTCTCCGCCCTTCAGCTGGTGGTCCAGCATGCTGATGAGCATGTCGAGTGCTGCGCGTTCCAGCTTCTCCTGCGTCTGATGCCCCGTCCCCGTGCTGGCTACTTCCGCCATCTGCTCGAACAAGTCCCACGCTTCTGCCTGTGACGGCGTCAGTTTATACGGTGGCCGCTTGTCGTCGTCCATTTCCTGCGTGCGGAACCAGACACACAGCAGACATAGCCACACGCCCTTGTATCTCGCCCACGTGTCGTCCTCCATGCGGTTGTCGAACGGCCGCCTTGGCTTGACGTGCGCTTCTGTACGCTGCGCCTCGAACAGCACGGCCAGCCCGACGGTATTGGGCGCAGACGTTGCTCGAGCCTGGTCCAGCACGCGGTCGAACCGTCGCCCACATCGCCTGAAGCACGACCTCATCTTCATTGATGGGAGCTGTTGTGTTGAAGAGTGCGCTGGCACTGAGCCCTTTTAAGTGCACCGCCCATCCTACACGGGCCAGCCACGGGCTGGACTCCAGTCTTTCGTTGGCGACGCGGATCAGCTCGTCGTGGCTCGTCTTCACACGTTCTGCTTGGACTTTCCGGAGATCTCGGACGCGGTCCATCGCCTGCCGTGCTGGGCTTCTGTTTGGAGCGGCTTCTGCAGACTCGTCGGCCGTCTGTCTCCGGGCCACCTCGAACCACTGGCTGCCGACTCGGCCGGGAAAGAAGCGTTGGCATTGGACGCCCGTTGTCCATGGCAGCTGTCGGGGCTGCTGGCTTTTTTTGCTCACGTCTCCCCCCTTCTTCTACTTATTCACCCACCTATGTTTCTCTCGACAGTGCTGCTGCATGGTCTGCAGCCGGATGCATACATACGAGCACGTGTCGCATCGTATACCGTCGTTACGGGGCGCCATGAGATATGGGATTGCTGCTATATGTGGGCTGGGGTGCTTTAGCTCTGCAACTTCAGACTGTGTCTTATAAACCGACGTCTCTTGCTCGATCTTGCAGATAATAGCACATCTTTCTTTGGGTTTGATGGACGAATGACGCGTTCTCAGATGTGCGGCCGACTCGTCAGCAACTACTGCAAACTGACAAACTGTGCAGATAAGCAGACGAAACGGCTCAGCAACCATAAATGGATCCATCTTCAACGCCGTTGTTATAATTCTCTTTAGATCAAGATATCTGTCCCTGTTCCTGTTATTGATACACTGACTTATGCTTTTTGCTCTATGAATGTTTTCTACTACCCACTCTGGGTAACCATAGTAACTTGTGAGTGCCATCCATCAACTTCCTGCCCAAGTGGAATGCTCTTGAGCGCACGGGCCAGTTGTCCATGGTGGAATTGGCGGTGCGGTCCAATAGCATCAACGCGGGGGGGTGGAGCAGCGAACACCACATCAAAACTGTAGCTTCAGCAATAAATTCACTTATAAATCAATCTGTCGTAGTTTTACCTCCAAACTGAGCACACTTCATGTCCTGAATTGACGTTATATTTTGCAGTTAAATGCACACTTTTTACTGCAGAATTCGCTGAGATCTTCTTCCAACACCTACCCCCTACCTCTTCAACCAACACCTACCCCATGTATGTCACCCCCCACTTTTCCATTTGGTGAGGATTTCAACCATCACCTAGTAGGTGTTTGAAGTTGCCAGTATGTTAGGTGTTTGAAGTTGCCAGTATGTTAGGATTTCAACCATCACCTAGTAGGTGTTTGAAGTTGCCAGTATGTTAGGGGTTTATTTCGGAACGCGTCGAGATTTCAATTGAAGGTGGAGACACTGAAGTCCATGCCGGCCAATCAGAGACCCTAGGGAACGCGTCGAGATTTCCAAGTCGGGCAGGGGGTGACGGGTGGGGCTCCGGACAAGTCGGGCCAATGGCTGTACACGGACGGCCGTATCTCGACGCGTTCCGGCATGGAATAACTGAGTAGGGTTTTCACGTGGCGTTGGGAGGGACCCCTCACTCACTAGAGGGCTCTCGCGGTGGCAGGACGCCCGAAGACGAGCTGTGTGGCGAGGTTTGCTTGTCATGAGTTAGCTTCGAGGGCCACACCAGACAATCCCACGATGCATACCTCTGCGAAACCGAGATCCGGGTCTGGTCCCTTATCAATGTCGCGTTTTGTGGGCTTGTGCTTCTTCCAGGGCTCTTCGCGCCAAGCCTTGTGGTTTGGAGGGAAACCGGCCAGCTGATATTGCACGCCGCCGGCGACCGACGAGCTGTACTTTCTCCTGTCAAAGTCCTTGTTTGGCGTTGACTTTCCGAGGTTCCTGCCATCCAACGTCCTCCAGGAAACAATCTGGTCATACTTGATACCTCCTAGCGCCGCGAACTCTTCTTCCGCGTCGAAGTCGCTGTATTTGCCAAGGGTGCCGACGGTGTCGACCATGTTAGGCGTGGCGTGGATCTTGTACACGAAGGCGGAAGGTTTCTTGTAAACAAATGTCGCTGCCACGGGTTCGCTGGCACTGGTGGAAACGAACCCGTCATCGTCCCGGCTCTGGATGTTGGGGGTACCTTTCATGTGATTGAAGAGGCTGGTGTTTGGGGGTTGAGACTGGAAGCCTGTCTGGCCCTTCGGGAGGAATCCCCCAAGCCTTTTGATCTCCTTAGGGGGTCTCATATCTCCACGATACACGTATTTGACCGTCGTTGGGGCTCCATGGCAAAAGACGTACCATAGGTGGGCCCATAAGACGAAGAGAAGAAGGGGTCGTTGTCCAAACATTCGAACGAAGACGAATGTTACCGTTTAACCGAATGGGGCGGGAGAAGGTACACCCTGGGTCGGAAAGGTAGGCGAGGGATGGGAAATAGAGAAGGCGAACGGCTGACAGGAGAAGGGAGTTTGGGAACAGGTCCTGTTGGGTTAGCGTGACGACGTTGGCGTGGGGTTTTATACCTAGCGTTGACAGCACTGCGTTGCACCCTGTCACGTCAACCGTCGGATTCCTGGGCTCATGATTCAGGGCACATCTTCGCAGTATGTGGAATCCCCACAAGGTGATAGAAATATATATAGTAGCGGAAAGGCAGGTTGTCCAGCCTAACAAGATGATCTGCTTAGTAAACGGCGTCGGCGTTGGCGAAGATAGTATCGGCTGGGATAAGTTACGATTTCTAGTCGCCCCGCTGTGAGCCTTGGCGGGAGAAACCCAACCCACTCTAAATCCTAAATTGAATGCGTTTGATGCTAGTGTCGTCTTAGTCGGCCTTGCATTTTATTTTATTTTTCTTGTTTTCTTTTTTTCACCCCATTATCCCTTTGGTTTTTTTGGTTTAACCCGGAACGGTTGTTTTCAGCCACTGTCCCAAGCTGGTTTATAATTTATACTCCGGGTCAAAGCTTTACCCCCGTTTACTCTTTTTGGTCCTGGTACACTGATAATGGTCTGTTAGTAAGAGTGCTGATAAGGAGAGCTTACAGGCTGTGTGTCTTTGTAGTAAGCCGAGCTTAGCTCGACATGGCGGTGTCGCCGAACGGACCACCAGTTTGTTTTAGTTTTTTCTTTTTTTTCTTTTTTCTCGGTAATACCGTGCTGTTACGACCCGTTATGCATGGATAACAGTTAACCGACCCACTTGGGCATCGGGCGGCTAGGACAGGACATTTGTACTGCAGGATCACGGGAACAACAGGGACTCACTCGGTAACGGAAGAACTATGGTCCAAGTCACGTGATGATAAGATAACGATCATATTGGATCAATATGATCCAACACGACTTGGGGGCCAAACGATCGTTCTGGATCAGAATGATCCAGATCGACCCAAGGTACAAAGGAACATGTTCAGAATTAGACTTGTATATAGTATGACCCTGAGCCTGGCTCATGGTCAGACTTCCATAGCTCTTCAGCAATCAACTTAGTATTCATCCTCACGGATACTCTCAGCTTACCTTCACTGCGAATCACTTGTTGAGTCTAAGACTGATCACCTTAGCCTCTGAAGACCCGATCTACTACAGCCTACGAACTACGACCTACGACCACGACCTAGTGTACTGTTAGAACGTATCAATCCCCAGCTTCTGTTAGCAGACCCTACTGTCGGATAGCTGACCGTAACACGTGCCTACTAGGCCGCATTGTAGGGCTTTCGGCATAGATTACTATATGCGTGACAAGACTGGAAGACATTAAATATACAGAGAGGTAAGCCTATCTTACGGTTGGGTAGGGTTGACTTGTAGGCTGTAGCCGGATAGGGACGGATTTGGGATGTTTATAGAGGTGGGTGGAGAGGTATCAGTATTAGCTCTGATTTTGACTATCTATCTACTCCCCCCCCTTTTACAAGCGGGTCAGGGCAACCAACTGTGGCACAAAGCAAAAGCTTCGGTAATGACAAATCCGATGTCATTATCTCCTGTTCTGTACTATATAGTTACAATCCTACAGGGACCAACTGTAGCGGTCGTAACACACCCCCCTCCCGACCTGCTCTCAATCTCGCCTTGTTCGTACCTTATAGCTCACCGCTTCCAGCTGTGAAACCAAACAGCCTCTCACATATGGCCTGGTATGAAGTTGGCTCTTTTATGGACCGTCAGACAGTGTACGGTCGCCGGACGGCTAGCTGTCTATCCCGCGGTCCGAACCGTCGCCCTTCCCTCGCCTGAAAGCCCAGCTACTGAGTATCTCGGTTGAGGAGCTCACGTTTATTTCATGGCGTGGATCTCAGCTACTAATCAAATGATCGACCGCGACCGCTGCTGAGATCTAGAATATGGTGTCTATTGGCTTGGCGGATGTTCTGCGAAGCATCCCTGCTGGCTGGTTCCTTGATGCTTGCCCCTCTAGGCGCGCTCGGCGTGGAGAGGCTTGGGGTACGATGCTAATTTGCTTATGGGTGAACGTTGGGAACGGCTGTGGTAGTTTTATGTCGACTTTCTTGCCGGGCTTCCGTGGCACGACGATCCCTTCGTCCGCCATGAACTGCTTGCACCCCCACGTTAGGCGACCCTCTTGGTTAACGACTTCACCGCCGCCACAGGGGTTTTGAGCTGTTCAGTGAGCCCGTTAGCACGACGTCACCCATGTAGCATACATGTAGCAGGACAAGTATAAACTTACGGCCTGCGACGCCTGTCCGGCCCCCTTTACCGTAGGCCACGATGCGGATGGAGCGTGGGTGATTGTTAGCTTGCTGCGAGCTATCGCTGTCCAAATGGTACTTAGGAGGTGTTAGATATAGAGGAGTCGGTGTTTGGCGCCTTGATCCAGGGGAAGGACCTGGTAGCGGAAGGAGCAGGACCTACCTGGTGAACAGCGAAAATCTCCGCACAGCCGGCCTCGGTTCGATGCTTCTGGTTGACTGGGACCTTCTTTTGGCTCTGTAGTCTGGCTTGGCACCGGTTAAGGGCAGCGACGACTCGTGGTTTGGGGTGCTGGGGGCCGTAGCCGTATAGAGAAGGGCCGTCTCCCTTCTGGCTGGACGAGATAAAGATGTTGTTTTCAACGGCCATAACGGCTATCATGGCGGGCTGGTCCTGTGCCCTGATGTGATCAACATTGAACTTGGCCTGCATTTGGGTATACGCTAAGTCAGCAAGCCTATAGAGTTTGGTCGTTGTTGAAAAGTGTTGTTGTGTCTCTAGTGAAGGTGAGCTTAGAGGAGTAAAGGATATGCTGCTCTTTATCCCGGGCGTGTTTGTCAAGTTGAAGGCCGAGATCCTGAGCTGCGATGCTTTGGAAGAGAGTGAAGAGCACAAGGAGCCCAAACACCTGGCCAGCCAGCCCTGAGATATAGGAGACGACATTTCGAAAGAGAACAAGTCGGAGATAGTGATTCGATAAACGCGGCGTGTGGCTTGCTGGGGAACGTACGATCTTTAGTAGCAATAGGCCGGCAGACAGCGGGAGTAAAACGGGCTGTGATAAGTACCTTTGTGTCGGTCGAAGAGCCTCCTAATCCTCTCAATGGCTGTTCCCTATATAACAAGAGGGTCCCACTCAGCAGAGCCGAGGACGTAGAGAGATACACATAGGATAGTAATAACAGACGGATAGGCTGGTCGCATCATCGTCAGCCTCTGATCATGGGTGCTCCCTTGTGACAGACAGCTTTGCTCCGCGCCGGTTGAGGCACATGCTTGACCGCGGTTGGGCTTTACGTAGACCTCAACTGCGTCAACATCGGTCTAATTAGCTCTCCTGGCTAGAAGAGCCTGTATTGCTCTAAAGGTGTTGGGATCCTACGGGAA